AATCCAGGAGTCGGGCGTTGGGAACGATGGACCAGTTGCGGAGCCACACCGGCCAGACCAAGGGCTGCCGGACATCGGCCCTGTCGAGCAACACGAAGGTGACAGTATCAGATCAGAGGTGCAGGAGGCCCCAGTCCTACTGCTACGCAGATGGGAACACTCACTCCAACAGGCTGTCACGGAGGACAGCTTACGGGAGCTGGCCCCCACCTTGGTCAAACATTGTGTCTTCTGCAATCAATGGATCTCCCAGGCTGGCGCTGCGAAAGAGCACATCAAGCGGATGCACCTTGCCATCTGGGACTGTGCAGTGGCAGACATCAGTGACTCATGCCTCAACTTCAATTCGTTGCTGCTCAGGAATCATGACTGCCCTTTTTGTGGGCGGATGGTCTACGGCATGTCTAGGCATGCCCAGAACTGTGTTGTTCTTGCGCAAGTCGTTGTGGCACGGGCTTGGTATAATGCTGGTCGACCTGAACAAACTAGCGATTCTCAGGCGGCGCCCACGGAAATGACTAGGACAGAGCCTGAGCAACTCATTGGTGCTTGCCTCCCCGTGCAAGAGGAGAGCTGACGACCGCCCAATTATCTTGAGAGACACTGCGGGCGCTGTGGCGCCTGGCGCAGGCACCTCAGAAAGGCGCGTGCGCACGAGTGGGAGAGCACTCGGCCCCGCGCAAGGAGAATACTGGGGCAATAATGGGCATGGCCAAATTGCTCATGCGCCATCAGAACGCGCTGCAGCTCCTGGCAGCAGACAGGCCCTTCGTCATATTCATGGAGACGGGCGGACTGCGCGTAACCCCGCAATTACAGGCCACCACCAAGCAGTGGAAGTCCAGCCGAGAAGCGGGCGCATGCAGCTGCTCACTTCGACAGGCCCTGTTGGGGTCAGTCTTCATGGAGCTGGAGGCGCGTCTAGTGAAGCCGGAGTTGGACACATCGGCCCAGACTCGCCTGATCGCAAAAGGCGTGCTGCTGAAGGATCCACTACGCTGGGTGTATGTGAAGTGGGGCCCGGCGCAGAAGACTCAGACGCCGACGCAGTCCACGCTGCCGCACACAGACGTTGTGCAGGGAGTCAGATTGCTGAAGGAGCAGTTAGTGAAGCCAGAGGTAGCGCACAAGTTCCATTCCATTGGCAGCCTGGCCTCGAAGCCACAACATTCCTCCTCACGGTTGGTAACACATTCATGCAGTGCATTGAACATGTCATGCCCAGCAGGCCCTGTCAGTTCTGCCGACTGCGCTACAGCAAGACACCCAAAGTGCACAAAGGAAAGTGCCTCCCTGTCCTGCAGCTTGCCTTTAGTATCGGCGCTCATGGAATCTGCCCTGGACAAAGTCAAGGCCATGTGGAAGATGGGGTCACCCATGACGGCGGAGGTGCCGATCCCCGAAAGCGAGGATGAATTGATGCCTCACAAGGCGCAGAGAAACGAAGGAGGCAAGCGGCAGCGGGAGCCGGAGTGCGAGGAGAAGGCCAACATCAGGATTGCACTCAAAGCACTCACGGACGCCAGAATCCGGCCGGAGCACAGTCACCGACCGCTACCCCAGGCAAAACAGCAATCGCAGACCCGGCCCTCAGCAGCAAAGCGCCTGCCGCTGTACAGTCAGTGGCGGAGGGGTATCTTAGGCTGGCTTAGGGGCAGGGGACAGCTCCAAATGACAGTGCGCGCAGAGTTCCACGACTACAGATCCCCTTGATCCTTGATAACCCCTCCAACTTGTGCTACCTCAACTCCCTGGTGCAGGCGATGCTCTGGACCTACGCTCAGGAACAGCAAAAATCCAGAAGGTACGGTGCCCTTCACCAGCCTTTGCGTGCCTTGCTTTCTGCCCACCAACATGTTCAGCTTCACGGAACGGCGTGGCTTCGCATGCGGGAAAATTGGCCACGCGTCCACAAGCAGCACAATGTGGCCGAGCTCTTGACTCACTTGAATGCGGGCCATCCCATTGACGGCGTGCAAGGTACCTGGGAAAGTCGTCTCCAAGTAGATCAGCGTGTGGAAGAGATAGAGGAAGTGCTGTGCGGCTGCTACATCTCCCCTGTGCTGATAGGGGGTACCTACAGTCGCTTGTCGAGGACTGAGGACTGGGCCTACGTACAACAGTATGGAGCCAACACTGCGCTTGCCGCGGCCCCGGATGTTCTCAGCGAAGGTCCTCACATTTCGGGTTGCCGACGATACCGGCCCCAGGAAACTTCATCATCGCATTGTACCCACTACTAGACTGCGGATCCCCCGATACATTCGAGAGGGTCAACATCAGGCGGAGTATCACCTGTGCTCAGGGATCTGTCACATTGGTCACTGCACTAACACCGGCCATTACCGGGCCTTTGGATATGGCAAACCGGATGACTCATCCCAGATCATCACTGATCTTGAGAGCCTTCAGACGCATCTACAAAGGGGAGCCGTTCATCCGGCCCTGCATGTACATGATGATAATCGGATTGGTGCAATTGCCAATGTAGCGGAAATCAATGATATCTGCTGCAATCGGTACCTTCTTTTCTATAGGCGTGTGCTGTTGTGCACTGCTGATGAGAGCAGAATTTTCGTTGTCCGACGCGCCGTAAGGCCACTTCCAAAGGGGTTGTGTTGCGCCCGCAGTAGTGCTGACACAGCGCAAGCGGTTAAATGAAAAAAGGACTGGCCGTCCAGAGGCCAGGCTGAGGAGGCAGTTCGCACTTTGGGGTTTGCTTTAGAGAAACCCTGGGAGGCACCTTGTGACATGGTAGATACACTCTTGAAAGCACGGTCTTTCTTGAACTTTATGTGTAGCTTCGGAAAAGAGGGGATTGTAAAAGGACCGTGAGTCCGGTGTGTGCACGCGTGACAGGTGCATGCATCCTCCTTTTGTGGAACCTGTGCGTTCCTTCTGGCTGAACCTGTGCGTTCGCAATACACATGCCCAAGACTGACCCCAGTTGGCCATAGGCCCACTTGCTTGGAAAAAGAGTGCCGACACGTCTCGCCTGCTTGAGCGAAGTGTATGATTTGATATAAAACATACTTGATGGACAGATATATTTCAGTTATGAATAAACATATTTGTGAATCTGTGAATAGAGGATGCCAGGATTTCAAAATTTGATTTTTGGAAACCCGATCTCTCGAGGTATGCTGGCATGTGTGTGCGTACCGCGGATCCCCCCCTCCCCAAGATAAAATCATGTTTCACCATGCTTGCATAGGGCAAGGTTGCACGGATCTGTTCTTGGCAAAATGGGGCTTTGCACCCCCCAACCCCCTGCTATGTTGAAGCCATCATGCCTTACGGTATATATAAGTATATATTGAACACAAACCTATCATCGCCATGTGTGCCATAGGGAGGGTAAAGGAGGATTATACGGATGATATTACGTGGAAAAGGCGCGCTGCGCCATCCAAGCGCGCAAATAGCATGCTGTGATTTACAGTGTCTGCAAGCTTTGAAGAATTCCGAATGCTGTCATTTACGGCATTTGTACGTTTTACACAGTTTCAAGCGCTGTCGTTCGCTTCACAAGCTGTAGATGCGCTCCAAATGTAACAGTTTACAGTATTTGCAAGTTGTAGATGAGCTCACAATGCTGTAACCCAATATTTGCAGACTCTGCGTGGGCCAAAGCGCTGCAAATTCCATCTCCCATATTGAAACAATCCATGAGGATCAACGGGTACAACAGGTACGAGGATGGCGAGCCCGACCCCCACAATCATTGTGAGTGTCGATACTTCTGGAACTCCGAGCAAAGGTCGGAAACCAACGACACAGCCTTTGCGCGAGCAACAATGCTGCAAATTGCATCGCCTGTACTGAAACAATCTAAGGGTCAGAGGGTGCAAGAACGACCACAATTACGAGGATGGTGAGCCCGACCCACAATCCGTGTCAGTGTCAATAATTCTCAAACTCCGAACGACGGTCCAAAACCAATGACAGTTGCGAGGATCGCGAGTGAGATCCCCGCAAATCTTGTGATTGTTGACGTTTTCCAAACCCCAAGAGGATCCGAGGGTCCAAAAGTGAGGACAGTTACGATGACTGCGAAGCGACGCCGTCGATTTTCGTCAAACTTAAAAAAAGGATTTCGAAGGTCGGGGTCGCCATCCTCGTATTGTCCTTGCTTTTGGACCTTCGGATCCTCTTGGAATCCAATGTCGTATACGTAGTTAAAATCGAGCTCTGGCGTGGAGCGTCCTCACATTTGCCACCCAAAAGGATAAAAACAAAAAAATCCCTCAAACAAAACAGAATAACACCGAATAATTCCGGACCCTTGCCATTTGGTTGGAAACCAATTGTATGGAAATCTGACGATGATTGGAATCTAACTTATGTAGTGTGAAAATGCGTTAGCCAAACGTGTTTGTGTTCCAAGACTGCTGAGGCCGTTCAACATTTGTTTGTTCAGCAGGCTGGTCTCATGGGATTCTTCATGTATGCATTCGAGAAAGTATTTCCAGGCAGACGACACTCCGTTTCCCCAAACATGAACACAGAAATGAAAAGTGACATTCGACGAGTGCGGTTGTGTTTTTGTAGGTTTCGGCAGGTGCGTGCGCACTTGCGAGGTTTGACGGCAATGAATGAAGGTCATGTCAATTGCTTTCTGTTTCGCCGTTTGCCCTTTTAGTTTGTTCTCGCTAAAACAAACTGTGCATGTGCGGTCTAATGCCACAAGCACCCAATGCCGGTTTTCGCACATGTCGCAGTTTCCTCAAATCCTCTGACGGGTCAAGGCATTTTGAGCGAACAAGCCTTTTAGCATGCGTTGAGTTGATGCGAGTTGTACCGGACACAGCTTTAGATGAATGCTTCCAAATTGCGTTGGCAAAAATACCAGCACACATTGCATGCAGATGTTGGAAAGGTTTCTTGCACACGAATGTGACAAACGCTGCCTACAAGGGAGTGCATCACGCATGCAAAGTGCCTCGTTGCAATTCTGTGTATTTGTGCGGAATGGCCGTTTCACGCCAAGCTGACATCACATGCCTCGAGTGGGCCACACAAGAGTATCGGCCATTGTTGCGCCGATGAGTCCAATGTACATTGGCCGTATTTTGTAAATTTGTCCGTTTCGTGTTCATTTGCAGCATTTGTGGTCAGGTCTGATGGTTTGGGACATGCTACACAGGAGGCGCATCTGAATTGAATACGAGATGTTGTTTGATGTGATTTTTGGGGAAAAGATGCAAGGCCGCGGGCTCTTCTCCAGCACAACCTGCGGTGGCCAGCAACAACGCCACTTGATTTGAGCAAACATGTTCAGACGTTCCGAGTTTGCCAACAAAGCATTGGTACTGGAAGCTATCATTGTTCTTGCCAGGATGGTGGGATGTACTTTTTAAGTGAATCCAGGTCGTTCCGCCGAATGGCACCATTGCAGCTGCCGTGGCAGATATGCCTGCGGAAATGCAGGTTCCTGAATGCTGCAAAGGGCACGAAACCGTGGGCTTTAAGAGCTCGGCAGAATTGGGTGTGGCAGACGCTGTCTTTACCTGCAGCTTGAGCCATTTTGTTTTGGGACTTTTTGTGCTGGCATTTCGATTGTCTGGAAGGATGTCGCCGTCCCTTGGGCACAACCACGCCTGTCAACACAGGCCCGAATCCATTCAAAGCTGTTTTGGTTAGGAGGTCAGCTGCAAGAGGTGAAGGGTCAAGATACCCTGGCATTGATGTTGGAAGTTTATGTGTGCTTGAGAGGAGGGCTCTGTGATGAGAAGCCATCGGCCGGACCTTCTGGCACGAGCACATGCTGCTGCCCCAGTTTGAAAGAACAGATGTTTTGGTTGAAAAGAAGAGCCTGTGATGAGTGTTGCCCTCACGCAGTAAGATGAGCAAGTGATCCAGGTCGTGTTTCGCGCTGCGCTGGGCTTGCCAACTGTTGGCTTGGCATATGTCGCCTGTCCGAGTTGTGTTCATTGCTGATCCAGTCAGTCATGCGTCAAACGCGTTGGCTTTTGCTTCTAAGCTCATTTTTGCTCCCAGTTCTGGTGTATGTGGGCAGGGATCAACTTACAACTTTCAGGCACGACCGTGCTAGCTCAGGACACAACTGATGTGCGCAGACTACAAGCTGAGGAGACACATTTTCAATTGAGGCGCTATTGTAAAATTTGCAGATTGTATGCAGGGTGAAACAATCAGAGTTGATTTGACCAGTGACACGCGTTGTGGATGCAACTCTTCTGATAGTTGGGTCCAAGGAGTTTGGAATCACCTTCGGTGTGCCAACTGGTGATGCAAACATTATCAAGGTTGGCGCTTTGTTGGATGAGTGCATTTGCGAATGCAGCATGCATTTAATGGAGGGCTCCTGTTATGGAGTCTTCAACAATTTGCAATCTGGTTTTTGCAGCTGTATATGGGTTCAAGCCGTCCCTATCATTTCGCTTCTCATTGTCTGCTCTGTCTAGCCCCGAGAGAGAGAGAGAGAGAGCATGGCGAGCTCTTTGATGACACGTATCATTTAATGGCATGAGTTATCTTCCTCTCGGAGCAACTGTACTGTATGTGATTCAGGTCAAGATGTTTGACTTCAGCTGCACCTCTGCATGCAATCCGCCGAATCCATCTGCCAACACTGTGAAGGTTCGGGCGGTTAAGGTGCAGTCTTGGGGGTGAAAAGCCATTATCCGACTTGGTTAGATGTCAGGTCAGCATGGAAGACCTTGCCAAGCGCGTCGCAGAGGAACAGGCCAGCTTAAAACCCACCTTCCACGGCTTTTGCAATCATATTATGTTGCACGCAAGATGGCCTTTCAGAAGCCTACAGGCAAAGAGATGTGGCGTTTTGGATCCTTTTTTGGTGCCAGGCAGCAAAGGAAGAAGAAGAGAAGCGCCGATTGGCCAGCGAGGAGGCTGCAAAGCAGGACCCGAACACAGATGGGCAACTCTTCACCGACACTGGAGGTTTTAATTGAGGTCAGTCGAAGTCCTAACTCCTGCCGGTCCGATCTGTCAAGCCAGCTATCGAGGAGGCAACTCGTCGCCAGCAGGAGAAAGAAGCTGAAGAGCGTCGTCGCAAGGAAGAGGAGCTTTGAGCAGAATCGTGATTGTTTTCGAAGCCCTCACCCCGGTGATTCTCAGGAGGAACGCCTGCGCCTCGAGGCTGAGCGGGAGAAGGCCCCTCAGAAAAATGGAGGGGAACGGGGCAGATCATGGCCTCAATTTGCGCTAGTCTCGGAGCAGTGCTAACACGGCTAACGATTTTGCAAGAAGCTGACTGCAAGGAGGCTAAGGAAGCCGCTGAAGCAGAGGCGGCTGCTGCTGCCCAAGCTGACAAGAAGCGCCAGGAGGCCTGGCCTTGGTTGCAAAATCAGCTTTGCCTGCGTCGCTGATGCGGGCGAGGAGTTGGCACAGCACAAGAACGAAGTGATGGCATGGATCAAGAAGCAAGGCAGCAGCGGATGTCTAACCCCTCTGCACACAGTTATCATGAAGGTGATTTTGAGCTTGTGTTTGATGGGGAAGCTGATTGTGGGAGCAATCCAAAGCCAGGGATTCAGAGCAGTGAAGTGTGATGTAAGCATGTGTATCCAGGTCATGGAGCACAACCATTCATGAGCTTCCGATGCCAACACCGCCAGTGTCCTTGTCAGGTTTCACGGGCGTCAACACGGCAAAGAAGTCCTTCTTCAGCAGCACGTATCCACTGCACAAGGCTGCGGAGATGGGAAACGCCAAGATCGCCAGCCACCCAGTGTTGCCCGTGGCCTGTCAGTATGCCTGCCGCAATGCTCGACTGAACGAAGAGACAGGTGAAATTGCTGTTGGAGCAGGGTGCCAACCCGTCTGTGAAGAACTCCGCGGGCAAGACTGCTCAGCAGGCATTGGACAACTCTTCAGCGCAGAGCATTTGGTCAAAGAGACATGCAGATTGTTTCGTTGGAAGGTCGTCATGCAGAAGAAAAAGGGTGAATCACACAAGGAGGCGGGCAAGCACATGCGACGTTAATCATGTCTCAAGCTAGCATCTGTGCAAATGTCGATGTTGGTAAGGTCCTGTCGCTCTTGTCAGATGCCGAGGGCAGAGCCTGAGCGCCCATTCTTAGCTTTGCTTGCAGCAGGAGTGCACGCTGTCCCTACAACTTTCAGTACTGCATTTCTTCATGTTCACGAAGACCGAGTCACGTGCGCTGCTGTTGAAGCCTCCTTTTGCACAGGTTGCCTTTTGGCAACTTAGAGCATGTGAGCTTATCCATTCGTTTGCCGTCTTGTGCCGCACAATGGCACTGGTTGCAGACAGAGGCTTGGCTCACCTGAATTTCGGTGCCGTTCATGAGTAACGCGCAGTGACTCTGCTTTGACGTGTTCCTGCCGGGAGTGCACGATGGAGCGTCATGAGCGTTCTAATTCATCAATTTGCTTGACTTATGCTTTGGCATGAGTCCCAGCCATAACAGCTTGCTAGTCGAGGATGCTTCGTGTAGTCTTTAGCTGCACAGACGTCCTCGTACGTACAGGATCTGCAAGAAAAAGGATCTTGCAGCAATTTCCGCGAGTGGACAGCACAACGTTGCAAGAAAGCAAAAGGAGTCATTCTTTCAGTCTTTGCTTTTGCAGGCTGTGAAGCGAGTCGTGGTCCTGTCCGTGATCAGCTGGGCGGCCAGAAACCACTTATTCTGAGAGTTGTGTGGTTCCTGACAGCGGGAAGAGTGTCAAAGCCTTCATGACTGAACTGCGGGAGTTTTTGCGGGGCTTGAGGCTCGACATACTACATCTGCGCCTTCATTGCCAGATTGCTTTTGGGCCAGTACACTGATCCAGGCATTGGCGTCCTGCAGAGACTGTTCCTGAGATGTGCAAAAATGATGCAGGTGATCCAGACTCCCCAGATGAGCTTTGGTCAGGGTGCAGTCAGTCTCAACCTCATCCTTACTTTCGTTGTACTTCCATGTGGTTCATGACGTCTTGCAATCAGGCTCATCATTGAACTCAGCATTCCAGCATGCGGGTATTATGGAGCTCTGTACACACACAGGACACACAGACAGGTTAGTCTATAGTGTGGCTTAAAAAATCCTAGCAAGGGTTTGTTGGCGGACAAGGAGCAGGTCGACCACTGGCAGGCTAGTACTTAGTCGAGGTTGTCACAGACTGCAGATTGACTACCGCGTTGAATATGTAAGTTGATTCAGTTCCTGCATCGCAGGACACTTCTTTTTTTCTTTTGCGGCGCCAACCTGATCTTCGTTGTCGGTCTCCTGGACAGGGCTGATGTGAACTGTGGGAAGTTTGCGGGATGGTAGCCGGGAACGTAGCTTTTTGCCATTGTCCTGTGCGCAGTCGCAGCTCTTCACCAAGGTGGCGTCCAGCATCAACTTCCTGCGATATGTTATCCGGATGGGTGGCGGGGCAGAAGCGTGCACGACCTGAGATCATGAAAGGGGTAGACACGGCTGCCAAGTTTCACTAGAGTTCCGAGGTGCGCACTTGAGGCATACGCTACGCAGCAGCGAGACTGCGAGCTGATGCACAGCTGCGGGCCCAATTTTCAGACTTGAGAAAGTTCGCAGTGACTCCTTGCAACCTTTAAAATTTTGAAGCCCATGCTCAGGTGACGGGCCCCTTCGCTACCTTTTCCTGGGCAGTCTGCTGGTGCCTTGCTTTTTTATATGGACTGTCCTTCCTGTGCTGGCACGGCTCGTGCATTGCCACTGTTGGCTATCTGCGCGCATTGCAGCATACCATACATGGCTTAGATGGTCCAACCTCTCTTGTGCAGATTCTTACATGGTTCAGCTGTCTGTCGTTTGGCGCTGGCAAGGGTCTCTACCAGGCCTGTGCAGTTGCAAATGGTATGCTGAAATTCCCGAAGGTGATTTTGGTTTCTAGGTCATATGGAATTTATGGCCCAGTTAGGGGATGCGATTGCGGAAGACGTTGCAGGGAAGGGCTACTTGTGCGCAAGGTCAAGAGCAAGAAGGTGCCGTTTTCCACTTCAAACTTCCGGATTCTGAACGCAGCACCGCAACGATTGGTTGAGGAATTTATCAACTTCCAGCTAGCTAGCGTTTCCGCCTTCTTGCGGCAGAACTTGGCGAATTAGGACATTGTGCATAGCCTTGGAGTGCTTTCTAAGTAATTTTGATTATAGGCCTGAACCAGAACGGAGTCGAGCGTCGATCACAGTCGACTTTTCCACAATACGGCCATGTGCAACTGCACTAAAGCGTAGACAATCAGCATCATAAACGGAAGAGTTTCAACGAATCAGTTCTGTATTTGTTGCTGGGCAAAACCATCTTCCCACGAGCCTTTGTGCTTCCAGTCTCAGACTCTGATTGTGCAGGGGCTGGCGCCCGGAGATGGACATCCGTACTCGCGCAGAGCCAAGCCGTGCACAAATGTGAGGTTGAGCGGCCTGGTGTAGTCGCTTTCAAAAGGAGCAGAAATCATGCAGCTTCCGCCAACGGAGTAGCTGATGAGACCAAGTTCATGTTTCCATTTCACGCGTTTCATGCGGGGTTTTTGGGTCCCATTGCTGACTGCCAATCCCTTTCCAGGTCAGTACCTGTGGTGGGCGAAGTTATTGCGACACCAGAGGCTGTCAGCATGGCCGTAGGTTTGGCCTCTGAGGTTCAGTATCATGCCCTGGCGCTTTAAGAGCGAAAAGTTCACTTGAAACCAGTAGAGGTGGTGGTGATGGTGGTCCGAGTAACTGTGGGGTTGGCTGTTAGACCAGCTGTGTTAGACTGTGAGATTAGTAGTGCTTGCAAAACGTAAGGCTTACCTGGTTGGGCATTGTGCCAGCCTTTCCCTGGATGCAGGGAACCAGTTCGGAAAATGGATCCAGCTCCTCCCCGACTCGCAACTTGCCGCAGCCCGAGCAAAGATTCAGCACCTGCCTCTCAAGACTGCTCACTGGAAGTTCCTTGTAGCTTTGGATGCTGCGTCGGTGTCTGGCTCAAAGTAGCGTCGTTGGATCCAGCCATGGTGCGGCGAAGTGCAGTGCTGGGTCCTCATAGGGTTGACCACGACGAATTGATAAATTCTGGCGGATGAAACCAGGCCTGCGCTGGCCCTCTTGGCCTCGGCAGCATGGCTTCTCCCTTTGGCCTTCCTTCCATCAGGCTCAGCTTGATAGCTTTCGGGTTTTGCTAGGTGCTGAAACGCAGGGTCCTCTGATACTGACAGGCCGACCCGCGCAGACGGTGCAGGACTGCGGCAGACGTGCAGTGCTGCGGGCTAAGCTGTTTTGGCAGCTGTGTCTTGCTTTGTTGTACGGCCTCCTGGCATCAAGTGGGATTACGCAGCTCTGAACGTACAATGCAAGATACGGGAGGCCCAGAACAAGAGTCCAGTCTAGACGCTCTGAGGCTAGCAGGCGTTGCTGGATCTCTTTGGCTGGATGCCGTGCCTGAAGCGACTGGGTTGCTGAATGCTTGCATAGCTGGCATGGACGAGAGATTCGTTTATGAAGTGGTGCGGTCGAACGCGCCTTGTAAGGTAGCATTTTCAATATCTATCCTGCAGGTTGGTTTGCCTGGAAGGCTTGAGGTTCGGACTGGACGAGTCTGGCCCACCACAGAGGGGATTTTTGGGCGGCGCACGGAAACGTGCACACAATGATGCTGATGCTTGCATCCTGTAGCGTCCACTACACAATGCCCGACCAAGTTGCAAGTGACTATCAAGGTGCCTGCTGAAGACTGGAGGAATCAGCCGATGTAGCTTCAGTACGTCTAGTAGTTGAGTCCTCTGCCCCATTTTATCCTTGAAGGAATGCTAGAAAAGGTGATGGGCTCGAGCCTGATAGGCTTTAGATTTCACGATCTCATTTTGATCTTGTTCGACCACTGCTTAACCTGGCATTGTCTTTTGCAGTGTGGACCTTGAGAATGCAACGCATGCGTTCTTGGGTGTAGAGCTGATGATGCAGTGTAGCGCAGCTTTCCACTACCGCAATCCTTACGCTGCTTGACCTATGCGTTTTGATCCTTACGAGGTGCACTACAAGATGGTGTTGCAGCACGAAAGCACGGTTAGGATAAAAAGTCTCAGTCGCAACATGTCAGTTGTTTTATGCGACTCAGGCAAATGCAGAGGAGGAACTGACAGTGCTGCGAACTGGGAAGACCCCAAATGCCAAGATGGACTACCAGGCACGAGGGAGGGCCACAGGGAGAGTTGTCATCGAAAACTTACTTTCATAAAGATGGCAGCTGTCTGCAGGTCCTCCGGGAAGGCAAGTGTGAAGAGGCCCAAATGGGTGATCTTGTCAGGCCAGACGGCCATTGCGAGGTCAACAGCTGCCAAAGCGTACGCACCTTGCAGTTTTGCAACTGTTCGCTGATTGCTGTGACAGGGTCAAGCACCGAGCTTGGCTTGAGAACTTTGAGGAGGGCCTGCCGTGGGAACTCACGCTGGTGGGTCGAATGGCCCCGCACCCAGTCCCGCCCGGGGCTGTTCGTTTAGCTGCAGCTGCAAATCATTAGCAAAACAGACAGGGTCATAAATGCTTTGACGCTCAGGAGGTCGGGCCCTACCAGTCTCCAAAGAGGATAAAAGTTGGAAAGGCTGCAAGCCTATTTTGCAACTTGTGTTTTTTTTTATTGACTTGGTGTACTTGTACTGGTGTTTGATGCAGACACCGCTGACGCCTTACGATCCGCCATCGCTTACCGATGCGCTGCTCGGAATGCGCCCGGGAGAGCTGCGGCGGGTAACCGTGCCTCCTGAGCCTCTCGTCTTGGATTTCTTAAGTCGGGTGCCCGTGGGGCAGTGACTGTGGCGCATAGTGTTTTCAGTTGTGAGAAGCTGCAGCAAATTGCAGCTCCAGTCCTGAGGTTTGGCTTTGGCACCAAGGGCAGGACACTCACACACTTGTCAGAAGGGTCCGAAGTGTCACCCGAGGGATTTCTGTCATTGCAAGCTCTCAGTCGCACAAGCATCACTACCAATCTACTTGTTGCAGGAGCATCATGGACCCCATGGAGGATCAGGTGGCCCCACGCAATTGTTCATGGTGTTGTTCCTTCTGGTTTTTATCCGGCTGTTAGGACATCCCGCCAAACTCAACGTGCCTTGCCCGCATTGCTGAACGCGTCCCAATATCAATTTCTCCGCTATTCAGCTGTACCTTGTTTCGCCCAGGTTGTACTATGAGATTGAAATGGTGTGGACTGGTCCGGCACAATTGTCAGGCTGCATTAAGCCATATGAGGAAAACGGAAGATACAGGCCGTGAGGCAGGATGTGCCTTGCATGCACAAATGCGGGAGAGGGGGGAACACAGAAAGGGTTCAAGGTGGAAGGTTTTCATCTCTTGCAAGCCGAGGACGACCTCATTTGGCCGTATGTGATGGTCGAAGTTGCAGCATATGTTCTGACAAATTTAGCCAAGTGCTTACGTGCGACGACAGGCTTGATAAAGAACCCGGTTCAAAAGTTACAGCTTTCAAGAACTGCGTGGATCTCGACCGGTCGTTTCACGTCTCAGTTTTCCTGCTCACTGTACAGGCTTGACGACGGATAATGGAATATTAGGCTGCAGCGAAGCATCTCCCAGACGCTCCTACCCATACTTGACAAAGTTGTTGCGAAGTGATAGAAAGCGAGCTCAGCACACGATGCAGGCAGCGCAAAGGGTATGGATTTTTGAAACTTATCAGCCTGATCTGTTGTCCCAGCAAGGAACATGTCCGAGGAGGACCGACGTGTTGCGGAAATGGCTGGATCCCTACTACTATTAATGATTACTGCGCCAATGTAATTTCACTTCTCAGTCTCTCAGTCGCTGTTCTAGGCCTAGCCGCATGGGCGAGCCCTGCCTCTCTCAAAATTGGCAGCAGAAGTCAGAGCAAGCGTAAAAGTCAAAGGAGCGGGTTGGTAGAAGTAGAAGTGGTACCAGCAGCAGGGGGTGGGAATAGTAGTGCTGACAGCAGCAGCAGGCAGCAGGAGGAGGAGTAGAAGTAGTAGAAGTAGTAGTAGCAGTAGTAGTAGTAGTAGTAGAAGTAGTAGAAGTAGTAGAAGTAGTAGTAGTAGTAGTAGTAGTGGTGATGGTAGTAGTAGTAGTAGTAGAAGAAGTAGTAGTAGTATGAGGAGTAGGAGTAGGAGTAGGAGTAAGCACCACGGCTCGAGTGAGTCCACTGTGGGCTGTTGTAGTGCTAGAAGGCCTCTTGATTGCCACCTATGCCATGGTCCCAGCCTGTGTGAAGGGAAAACTTAGCTTGACTGCACCTACAGGCTTCTTGCTGAGACACCCTGCACCAAGTGCCCTGGAGCTCTGACATAAGTCCGACTTCGCGAATCAGCACGTGTTATACATTGCAGATTGCCCTGCAAGTGATGAGCAACGGGGGCCTCCGCTGTTCCTCAAACAAGGGGTCGTGCCGACAGAGCTCAGATGCCATGGGTCCATGGCGGTCACGGAGTGATGTGCGTTGTGTATGCAATCAAGGGCCGCAAATGTCGAGCCGCCCGTTCCCAAGTCCGGGACGAGGAGCAGGAAGTGTAGCAGATCATAGCCACAAAATTTTAAAAGGGAACGTCATGAGGCCAAAGTGCGGCGCACAAGAAAACGTGTGGCCCATGTGAGGCGCACAGGGTGTACTGTCTAACTGAGTTGGATGGGGACCGCGCACCTTGTAGCAGTTGCACCGCAAATCTTCAGCCCTTGTAATGTTCTCTTCGGAACATTCCTGCATTTTTCATTGCCTAAATCCGGCGGCGGCAACAGCCTCGGCTTG